GATTTTTTTTTTTTTTGAGGTGTGTATCAGCATGCTTCAGTTTTCACAGGGTGCAGTGTGGCATGGGCAGTTCTTTGTGGCTGGGAGGCTCTACTCATGTGTGGGTGCTGTAACATCACACTGTCAGAGGCCTCCTGGTCTGGCACAGTGGTTTTGGCAACCTAAGCTTGCCTTTTTGGGAGGCTGTGGGTTTACCTAAGCTACTTTAAATTCCTAGCTTGACCCCAGCTCTTGTGGGGTTAAGTGCAGAGAGATGCAGCTTTGCCTGTTATGGTGCTGTTTCTCTCCTAAAACATCTCAGGTGCCCTAGCACAGGATGTTTTACCCTTGCTAGCTTTTCTCTGTTGAGAGAGGACACCCAAGCTTTCCTCTTCTCCTGGCAGACATCCCACTCTACATCAGAGCAGCACCTTTGGGCTGCACGGTCCAGAATGATGCCTTGACCAACGTTGCTTTGAACTAAAGTGTCAGGCTGAGGTGGTTTTACAGCTCCTTTTGGCTGTCACCTGGGTGCTGTTGAGGGCTGCAGCATCCAAATAACTTCCTTCTTCAGTGAAGGATTTCCAGGGCAGGAGCCTGCCAGCCCTCTCCTTTGTAGCCTGGTGCACTGGAGTTGGCTGGGACACAATTAAAATGTTCTGCATCTCTTACAATGCAAGGTCTCCAGGGCATGGATTTTTTTGGAAGGTTGCGATCAGGTCTATAAACCCCAAGATTTAATGTCTCTTTATCTTCCCATAGAGAGACTTGTTCTTTAAACTGCCTCAATATCGATACACCCGGTGTGTAGCAAGTGGCCCAATTTCCCCAATTTCTTTGTTTCCTGACATCCTGAACCCAGAAGCAGATGGACGTTAACCAGCTCTGATTAGTTGGGAGAATCAAGCATTAATTTTTTATACACCAGGACCACCTGAGTGACGGAAATCAATTACAGCTGCCCCTCCCCCTTCCATATTAATGTGGTGGCTCCGAGCAGAGATGGAGGGACCTGTTGAAATGAGAAACCCCTATTTCTTAGTTTGACCCTCTAGATAATTAGGGTTAAATTGATATGCTATCGCACCAGTGACACATTTTATCTGCCTCTGTTTGTACAAGAGGATACAATAGTGGAGGAAGGACCAATTTGTGCCCTGCTCTAGCTAACCAGACCGAGATAAAAGGTGTCACTAGTACGATAACGTTCTTGCCTCATGCTCCTTTATTGTTGCTCAATTTGCCTTTTTTTTTTTTTTTAATCCTGTTCTTTTTCTTTCAATACCCTTGGTCATATTTTAACTCCATGCCATCGCATAATGACGCCCTGCTAAATGTGTGTGGAGATAGGCAACTCTGGCTGACAGCCTTCCCTGATAACCGAATTCCAGCCCATCCATCACTAGGCTGCTCTCCTTAACTTAAGGAAAGTGATAACTAAAGCAAGGCCGTTTATCACCACCGAGCTGTGCGTTTCTTGCCGCCTTGGAGAGAGCTGGCTTCAACGGGAGAAATGCAGCCATGTCACCTTGCCTCCTGTTTGCATCCTGTTCATCTCCAGGCCCCATTTACCCTGCAGGATGGTTTTGAAAGCCAGCTTCCTTCCCAAGGTGTGAGCACTTCAGTGTTTGGGGAGGCAGTGAGACCTTGTTCAAAAACTGGAAGGATCGTGGGATGTTGAATGCAGTGAAATGTGCCATCATTTCTCATCTCCCTTACCTGAGGGAGGGCCAAATCCTGAGCTCTGTGCTCAAGCAAAGCTGCCCCCAGTGTGCAGGGTTGGCTCTGGCAAGAGCAAGAAGCCATACTGAGCATAAGAGCTTGTTTATCAAATGAGCTCAAGTAAATGGTCGTGCTGATAAATGGACTTACTTCTTTACAGGCCATGGCACTTCTGTTCCCCAGGGCAGCCACAGGTGTGCCTTATTCACTCCAACCTGGAGAAGATGATGGAGAAACTCTTGCCTGCTTACCAGGCTGAAGAGTGGGGGGGACCACTGTAGCTTGAATGAGCTTGGAGCTGGGGAAAAGACATTGCAGGAGTGTTTTCCTTCCCGTAGCTACCTGGGAAGCTGGTTTTTGTGCAGTGAAAGCCCCCAGTTCCCTGTGCTGAGAGTGCTGCATATGCAGACTAGACCGGACCCACGTAGCAATCCTTTGCTAATCCTTGCTAAATAGCTGTGTCCTCACTGGCCTGGAGCCACCAGGTCTGCATCTTCCAGCTCAGGGAGTAGACTGATGTTGTGGTCCGTGCTGCCGACAGCCCGCCCAGGTTATGGTGTGAGTGTAGGTTTCCTAGTGCTTGAAAAACTTGGTGTAGCCCCTCTGGTGCTGAGGTGAAATGAGGGGAGCACAAGCATGGAGGGGGAGGGGGAATGTCCTGAGGTCACACGGCTTCACAGGCAGTTTCTGGGGTTGTTACTTGTTTGCAAAAATGCATCATTTATTTAGTTGACATATTTATTTGGAGCATTTATTTTCTCCAATTAAAGACCCACTGTCCAGCGCCCAGGGCACACTGCCATCAGTCTAAGGGCGGAAATAGAACCAGACTGTCCAGTTTGCTGGGCCTTTTGGTCCCACAGGGATGGCAGTGTTTTAGATGTCATCCATTGCACTGGGTGGTTAGCTGTCAATTCCTGTGACTAACAAGAACAATGCTGCACTCACTTCTCCTGGGCCCTATCCAGAGGTTAGGTGAGTTGATAATTATTCCTCTAACTGGAGCTACACTGAGACCTGTATTAATGAAAGCCTCTTGGGTTGGGAGGAGAAACTCAATTTTAAGTAACATACCTTTTGCTAGCTCCTGTCATCATCCTCTCTAGCTAAATGTGAGGAGTCTGAGAGAGGCAGAGCTAACCACATATCTGTATTTAGACCAGTCGTTTGTTTTAGATGGTTCCTTGTGATCTTTTTTGATTTGGTTACCAGTAGAAAGCCGCTTTCCTGGAGAAAGAGTTTCTTAGCATGCTGGTTGGGGTTGGCGGGGTCTGTTTGACTATGGGATGTCTTGGACATATGTATAAGGCTGTAAAATGCATGGACCAGGCTCCTGTTTATGTCATGGCTGTTCCATTGTGAGGAGTGACTCCAGGTGGTTTATTTCAGTGCTTACATCAGATGAGCCGTGCCCGGAGATGAGACTGTGCTGTCAGGTCACATTGCTCACTCTGCAAATCGCCACAGACCTGCTGCTTGCAAGCTCGTTCTTTTGACAGGCTTCCTGCTTTCAAAGAGCTTCCTCTGTACTTTCTTATTCAAATGTGTTTGTATGACTTAAGTTATTGCTCCTAAATGATGACACTTGCATCTTCTCAGGACCAGGTGTATTGTTTTGGCACAGGGAGTCTATTCATTTCTTAACCTAAGCAGGGCAAAGGTGGTACACAGGTGGATCCCAGTGTGTACTGGCTCTGTTGGCCACATATTCCCAGGAGATTCCCCTGTATATGTTTGCCAGCTTCCTTCCTTTCCTTACCATAGAAATGGAGGCATCACCAAGACCAGACCGCTCTGGTGCTGCACTACCCTGAATCTCACATTATCTGCAAGTGCATTATCTGTGCTGCTCCTTCATCTCCTTGCTTGGCAAAATGTCTAGAGAGGTGCTGCCCTGTTCACCAAAGGGTTGGTGACTGGGCTGAGCACTCAGATGCTGCCTGGTGTGCTGGTGGTGCACCCTAGCTTGGGGTGGTGTATCTACCTTGTATCCAGTTCTGACCAGAGCGTGTTCCTGAATTTCAGTCTTGAGTCTGAAGTCTGGTCTGGACTATTCACTCTTTCCTCTATGGAGATGGGAAAAGACTTTGCCCTGGACATGGTGGTCTGTGTTGGGGTGTTTGAGCAGCTGATGCTGACAGTCATAGCTCTTCCCTCCTCCTCTACAGCCTCCCCCTACAGCCCCCATGTGCCTGAGGAAGTTGGGAGATTCCCCATCCCCCTCTGTTTGCAAAAGCCGATTTCTGGGGTTGTGACTTTTAACATGCACAAACAGCTCTAATTTAGTCATTTATTTAGTTGACATATTTATTTGGGATGTTCCTTTGCTTCAGTTAAAGATCTTGTGACCAGTGCCCCAGGCGTGCTCAGCAGTACGTGAATGAACAAGATCCATCAATTACTCTTGATCAGATCAAACTAGCTGGGAAAAACTCACATAACTCATGTCCCTGCACAGGCTCGGCTGGAGCCACACAGTTTGCAACTCAGCCTTCCCCAGCTGAGGGGCACGTTGTAGCTCCCATGCAAACACACTGGGATCAGCACAGTGTGAGAGAAACAGCTTTCCTGGGGGCCTGCTGTCCCTTCAGGCAATCCACCTCCCTTACCAGTGCTGTTTTGTTTTGAGCTCTATTCCATTGGCTTGCTGTAGGAAGGGAGAGGGTAAATACATGTGCTCAAACCCCTAGTGAGACAGTGTGCAGCACCCTGCGTCTTCAGGGTCGTGACTGCTCTCTTCTTCCAAGCACCTGCTTGGAAAACAGCCTCTGCCTTCCTAGCCCTAAAACATTGGTCCTACAGCATTGCTACCCAAAATTGAATGTTTTGTTGCCTCCTTCCCTCCCTCGTGTCTCGTTCGGTGTTTTAACCATAAAGGCCAAATCCAGAAGCACCAGGGTATGACAAGTGAATTGTCAGTCCTGTCTGCCCTGTAAGCTGCTAAGCAGGATGGTTTTTCAGGGATTTGTGATGGGTTCACTTAGCTAAGGACAGCGTGGATACTCCAGTCATGTTTGTGTGTTAGCCACTGTGGAGAAGAGCTGAGCGCTGCACTTGCTGTTCAAAATGTTTAGTCCAAAAGGTTTCAGCAGCCTAGATGTGGCTGGATGTATATAAGTCTTAAGCAAAGCTGTGCTCTCATGAGATTTTTTTGCCAAGAGCTATGGTCCTTCTGATGTGCAGCGTGTTACAGCAGACTTGAGGGTCTCTTCCATCTCTGAACAAAATGCACTTAAGAAAACAGAGTTTGTGTTGTCAGGACACTGATTGAATCAAACTTGCTCTCTTCTCTCTTACAGGTTACCAGGACAATGCCAGTACTTAGGGCTGCCGGTTGCTGATTACTTCAAACAGTGGATTAATCTGAAAAAGGTACTTCTGTGCAAACTGCCATAGTCCCTGTCTCCCTCTCTCCCTCCTCCCCTTGTCCTTCACTTTTCCTCTTTAAGGAGGTGTCTAATAACTACTGCTGCTTTGCATTGAAATGAGTTATTTCCTCAGAAGCTGGGCTGAGCGAGTCCTCCAGCTCCCTATTGTATTTCTTCTAATAGAGTCTTACTGTACTTGATGGGATGTGTTCTGCAGCTGGGGAAAATCCCATTGTGGCAGGCACAGTGCAATGTCTCTGCATAATAGTGGGACACTGTGAGGCCCCTTTCCAGTGAAGGTTGTGTTGTCCCCAGTGTTGCTGACTCTGTTTCGTTTTGCAGCTGCATAAGGCTCCTAGGAGCATGGTTCCCTTCAGGTCAAATTCTGGTTAATAAATGTGGAAATACTCCAGTATAAAAAATCAGCATTTCCCTTTGTGGTGTGGGGAAAGGGAGATGTCTCAGCAGCACATCCACCTAAGAGACTGGTGGCCACTTTATTAAGCAAAATGCCTTGGACTCAGTACTGTCTGATGCCTTGTCTTGCTCCGTGCCTTCAGTGAGTGTTAAGGGGCAGCCTGCTGTGCATCCACAAGGTCTCCCCTGGCACAGCTGCTCCACCTGCACAGAAAAATGTGGTGATGCCATAAGACACAAACCAAAGTGAGAAGAAAAGAACAAGTGTGATGACAAGCAGTAGCAGGGTGAGGGAGGAGGCTGCAGTCTGTGCACAAGAGAAAACTGAGGTGGCCCTCCTGGTTAAACCTTTGGATGAGTAAGATTCCCTTCCCCCATCCAATTTAGTGCTTTATTTGGGTTCCTGTGCCTTTTTGTGGTAATTTGGGGTCCCAGTAAGTGAAATTTGCTTATAAACAGCTTGTTGTTCTTGTGAGCTTTTCTTTTGTTCTTTTATTTATTTATTGTTTTAAATGGAAGCGTGAGTGACAGGCTGAGCAGCCTCAGAAGGACAATTTGCATGATCTGTTCCGTCAAATAGGGTAGAACATGAACGTAACAAGGGATGCTGGCAGCACATTCCTGGCTGAACTTGTCAAAGGGTCTTGTATTTCCCTGCTGTCAGAGCAAATCTTTTGGCTGATTGCTGGTCCTTGGTAAATGAAATCTGAAAGCACATTGGGGCATTCTGCAGTTCAGTGACCATTAATGATCGCCATTTGAAGTTCACTAAACTTCCGGTGAATGGATAGCAGCTATATAACCAGCAGGTTGATGGCTGCAGAATAATAATACTTTAAAAAAAAATCCCTATGTACTGTGATGTTTGCTAAGAAGTAGGTTGATCCAGCTCCTCCTCTGGGCCTCTGGATGAATGACTTAAGGCTCTTTCCCATAGTTCAAGGCTCCTGGATTTAGTGTGTGAGGAGCTGGGATGCTCCATAACGTGGATGTCCAGGCAAGTGGCTGTTCTTCAAGATGGGCATTCGTGTATTGCACATCAGCAAATACTTTGACACTAAGCTGAGGGCTGCTGAGCATCCCTGAGGTCCCAAGCACAGAGCTAAAGGCAGGAGCAGGAGAGAAGCTGTTGCAGCAAAGTGTTCCCCTTCCCAGCTCTCTGAAGGTGTCACATATTGAGCATGTAGGATGGGGGCACATGGGTGGGGTTGTCCTCCTCTGCACATGTGTAACTTGGAAAGGAAAGCTTCAACCTCCTTCAGATCATGTGAGGAGGGGATGTGAGAGAGAAGTGTTCATCTTCCTCCAATCCCTCTCATTCTTTAAAAAAATGAAGTTGTTCTGACGCTTCGGTATCTGATGCCCTCTGACACAGGGTGGCTTCAGGGACCCCACATCCCTCTGGGAAGTGAACCATGTTGCAGAGGAGAGCAGGGACATCTCCTGTCCTGTATTTAAGAGCTGCTTCTCCTGGGACTTGCTCTTACCCCAGGGCGAGGATCTTTCCATGCCACTCACTGCTTTCACGTGCTTGTGGGGCAACTGCCTGTATGTTTTCACAAGAGAGGATTTCCAGCTTAGATAACTAATTTTCTCCAAGCAGGCAGACCCAGTGGAGCCTCAGTCTCTATTGAGTGAGCTCCCAGTGTGAGACAAATAAGAGTGGACAGGTAACTAACCCCCCTGTTCGTCCCTGCATAGCTCAGGTGGCCCCTTTTCCCCTCCCTCTGGTATGTTCCTGACTTCGAAATACCTTGTAGGCTTAGTCTGCCTCTGACCTGATCCATGAAGTGAAGGTGTTGGGGGGGGGGTGGAGTGTGAAACTGATGATTTCTAGGTCATGGATAATGCAGAGACTTGAATGTTTCAGGTGTCAAGAAACCAGGCACATGTGACAGCAGTTTTCTGCAGAAGGGCCCCCCCTGCATCTTCTGTCCCTCCTTTGGGTCTCTGCTTGTGAGCAGTGATAGCAAGAGGACCTTTCTGAATTAGGGAGCTCCTTCTGCAACTATCTGGCAATGCAAGAGTGGGATTACAAACTGTACCTATGTTTGTGTACCTGTGTGTAGTGCAGTAGCAGGTTCCTTCTGCCCATGCACACACAGCTTCAGGTCCTCTTTGTCTCTGTTTTATATCATTTTAAGAAACAGTCCTTGTCTGTATTCCCTGTGCCAGAGTGTGGGATGCTCTGGAGCTCAGCAGTCCTTCTTCCCTCGCTGGTGAGACAGTCTCTCTCTCATGGTTCATTGGCCAATAAACTCCTTCCCTTGTCTCTGCTGTGCTGCAGGAGTAGTTGAGGCAAGAACCCTGTGCCTCCAGGCAGCTTTCACAATTTCCAAGACTTGCCTCTTGGGCAAGCTGAAGACAGGAACTGCCCCTGTGAGCTGCCATGCTTGTTTTGCCTCAGGCAAACCTTATTGGATTGATCTGGCCAGGCAGGTGGTGGTGAGCTCCACACCTGATTGCTGCAATGGTGGCCACAGTGTCTTGGGATCTGTGAAAAAGCTTCTGTGGAAGAACAGAGGGGGGAAAAAAGCTGCCTGTGCACTTGACTGTGTTTGCTGAAGTTTTACCTTGCCCCATGCCCCCCCCCCCCAGCCTGCTAATGCATCCCTTCCATCAAGCCTGATCGGTGTTTGCTGACATTTTTAATGTCACTGAGCGATCTTGTATCTCTAGTGAACTGTCAGTGTGGAGCTGACTCGGGGCAGAGAGTTTATCATGTTCTTCACTTCGATTAGCTCAGTCTTGTGGGAGGGCAGCAGAAAGCAGAGGAGGCTTTCTTTGAATGCTGCAACATTTCAGATATCCCCCTAAACCATCTCAATAAAAAGCCACCATCCCATCTGCCAGTCCTCCTTAGGTGCCTGTCATTTCGATTCGCAGAAGCCCCGGGGTTAGGACTGAGGTGCACAACCTGAGCTACATGAAACTGGATGCTCAGGGTGGAAATAACAAAGAGTGCTTCATGTCAGGAGAGAGGGGCACTAGTGAAGTAATACGTGCAGAAAGCAGGAGGCCGTGGGTCAAGATTTATGCAGAAAGGAAAGCTGCTGCGGCTAACAAGCTACAACCAAGCTGCTGCCCCAAGAGTATCCTCAGGTAGCCTGGATAAATTCATTAGTGCTTATTCTAACACAAGGATCAGCTCTCATTTGTGCTCCCTCTGCTCTTTTGGGAGCCTCTGTGGTTTGTTGTTCCAGGTCCTGCTTGAGTTAGCAGCATGGTTGGTCCCGTGATGAATCCTCACCGCCAGGACTGGAGCCAGTGCTGTGTTAGGCTGAGGACGTGGTGCCTGCAATTGCAGGGTGGCCAAGAGCCTGAGAATGGGAAACGCAGCAGGCAGCAGGAATGTCAGCACCACCAGGCTGGGAGCACATCACGGAGAGGAGAGTGGTTTGGTGGAGGGAGGAGGAGGAGGAAGAAGAAGAGCGAAGATAAATTTTCTAACAATAAGCTTGTGCAAGAAAAACATTAGAAGGACGATGAGGGTGTGAAAATGGCCAAACCAAAGGTCTAACCCAGATTGTCTCCATGCCAGAGGCCAGTAGCTGGTTACACCATGCAGGTGTAACAGGGAGAGCATGGCTCTAGTCACCTTTCTCTGATTCCCAGCAATTGTCTCCTCAAGCATTGAGAGCTGGCAGCTGTCCCTAGACCACTGTGTTTAGCACCCACTGTTTTTACCACATCTGTCTACCAGAAACTTGTACATCCTTTTCTGAATCTGCTCATGCTTTCAGTTTCTTCAGCATCCTGCAGCAATGACTTTTGCTATTTAATTATGCATCAATTATACTCTGTTTACTCAGATGCTGTGTGAAGATGCAGGTCCCTTTGTTTCTTTTAAACTTACTGTCAGATCATTTTCTTGGGCCTAGGTCTTGCATTGTGTGATGGAACAAGTAAGTGTTTCTAGTTCTTCTCCATGCCACTCACTCATGATTTGAGACCTCTTGGTTAATTGTCCCTTCCAGCACAGCAAAACTTGTCAGAGGGCTGACACAAAGGCACTTGCAGGCTCTGTGACTCTAGAACTGGCTTGTGTAAGTTATTTTTAACACTGTGTACACTATCCTGATCTTCCACTTTTTCTCTGGATGTTATACCGTTAAAAGATAAGAGGAACTGTTTATGTATGCACTAAGGGTTTGTTTTATTCCTTGTTTTTCAAATGATATTTTATTTATTTTTTAAAAAAGGACAATATTCATACCCATCATAGAGCTGTCCATTTACCAGGATAGCTGTCCTGGCATGTTTGACCATCTTTGATTTCTGTTCACAGGATGCAGCATGTCTTTAGATACAGGAATAGTTGTTGCTTTAGGAGTGACAGAACAGTGGTCCTAGTTTGACATCCTCCTGAAACCCAGGAGAGTTTTTATGAAAGGTAGGAGTGGAATGATGTGTGTGAAGAACTGCAACTTTCCATCTCTGGGCATGATGAAACTGAGTTGACAGAGCCTTGGGGAGCACAACGTGACCATGCTGGGGTGCCATGGCTTTGTGCAGAGCTGGCCTTTTCCAGGGCCAGTTTTTATTGATTTGTAGATATTCCTGGTTGGAAGCAAACTGGTAATACAC